GGGACTTGAATTTCTTTGATTTTTTGTGTGATAAATAAAAGATTATTTTGCTTTCTTTTCCTATTTTATTTCTAAGCTTTTCAGATAAAATACAAAACTATCTTATAATATATATTATAATCTTAATAATAAAATATATGGTAATGATCTTAGTCTTTCCGATGACATACTCAAAAAATATTAAATTTACACCTTCCTGAATTATGGCTGTTGTAAACATTAAGACCTAATTATATTTCAGTAATTTAGACAGCATCACAAACATACATGTAGTAAACATTCTAACTTAAAGATGTATAAAATTGTACTATTCTGTGTATCAGACTATATATCTAGCATATGATTTTACTATGTTTCATATATTTAAAAAATATCGCTCATGAATCTCAAAATACTATCTTCTTGCTTGATGAAAAAGAAAGCTAATCACAGTTTAGCTAAGTAACTTATCAAAGGTCGTATAATCAGACATATCCTTTCTAAAACTGGAATCTGAGACTTTGATTCCTAGTTCAGCAATCGCTGCACTATATCTTTAGCTGAGTGGATGTTCTATCCTTCCAAGGGCAGAATTCATGAAACTGATTTATTTGAACCCATTTCTGTACTTTGAGAATAGCAAATTTATATTTGATTCTTCATGATTGAGTCAGATGTTCAACATTGATATAGTATGCTATTAGCTTAAATTTCATTCTGTGCATATATTTCCAAGAAACACAGGCAAACACATTTCCTAAATATTTATTTCATTTCTCAAATAAAATTTGAGGGGTGTGAAATCTCTTTTATTTCTCTGTGCACCCAGCCAGCCCAATTCCTCACACAGCTTCCCACCACCATTCATTGACTTTCTGGGAAGTTTTCCCAGTTCAGTGTGTGTGTGTGTGTGTGTGTGTGTGTGTGTGTGTGTGTGTGTGTTTATACTTGCAGCTTTATGTGTGCACATGTTGCTTTTTGTTTATCATTTTGTATTCAGTCCCAGAATCTGTTTTTGAAAGGAATATTTTATAAACTATTCTTATTAATGCTCTCATTAAAACTCTTTACAAATAGACAAGAGATTCCAGGATGACTGCTACAAAACAGGTAGACAGGGTGGCTAATTTTTTATCATTGCATTTCTAATCTTCCTTCAGAAAAAAATAAAAGGATGTGTGAGTTTAGTAAACAGACAAAGTGAATACAGAATGCTCCCTATTCTGAGACAGATGTCAGTGAATTGACTCAACTCAGGAATAGTTATAAAATATTCACAAAGCTATCGTGCTGGGAGAGCAGAAATCATAGGCACATGCACAGCAGATTGTAAAATGGTGCTTTGTATACAAATTAGCGAGTATTTCTTTACACTGGATAAAAGATTGTATAACTTGAAATGGAAGACAAAAACCCAGAACTGCTGTAGACAATTCAAAAAATTAAAATTAGGAGGCATTTTTGCTTTTATTTCACTTGATAAGACCGAACTATAGAATTTTACTAAACTCTAAACTTAATGAGAAATAACTCCTAACCACTGTAACTTGTCATATAGCATTCAAAAATAATTCTACAAAAAATCCAAACAAACAAAAAACAATGCTGCAGCCACAAGCAGTGGGACACATTTGTAATCCCAGCTATTCAGGTATCTATGGCAGGAGGATCTTGAGTTCAAGACCAGTGGGAGCAGCATAGCAAGGCAATGTCTCATCCAGCCTGGGCTACACAGTGAGTTCCAGGTCAGTCTCAACTACATAGTGAGACCCTGTCTCAGAAAACAAAACAAAACAAAAAAGATAGTGTCCCAAAATCAAAACAAGAGAAAACTTCAGTAACAGAGGTTTCAGACTGAGCTATTGAGGAGGCTAGTTGATATCCCAATTTCTTTGAGTCATATTATTTCGGAACAGTGTGTATTAACAGTGATATTGAGCCGGGCGTGGTGGTGCACCCCTGTAATCCCAGTACTGGAGAGGCTGAGGCAGGAGGATCGCTGCGAGTGAGTTTGAGACCAGTCTGGGCTACACAGTGAGTTCCAGAGCAGTCTGAACTACATAGTGAGACCCTGTCTCAAAAACAAAAACCAGTGATAATAATGTGTTAGGTATTTTAACAGTTAATCACAAATTGGAATTAGTTTTAGTAAAATGGCTACTATTTTATTTTAGTGAAATTAATAGACTACAAAATTCTTAGAGAGCTTGCTTGTAAAGCAAAATAAAATATATTTAATTTTTGTCTTGGTTCTTAACTTGCTGAATATGGTAGATTTACACTGTTGATCTTCTAAATCTTGCCTAATGTTTCCATAAAACACAGGCATTTATGGTATAAACAATGCTATTGCACATTCCCATCTGGGACTAGCTAGTCTTTGTAAAAGCTTTCCAAGATATAGTCTCTAGCATTTTTAGTAGTATCTCATTTACTTTCTAATGACTTGAATTCAAAGAAAAAAATGAGAAGCTAACCACCAAACGTGTCACAACTTACTTACAGAATATAAAACAGTTCATCTAATTAAAAAAAAAAGTAGTACATCACTTAAGACTTGATAAATCTAAGTACAGTAATGATCTACAGCTGCCGTCTTGGCATGAACTATGCGAAGCACAAGACAAATAAGGACATTGCATTGAATCGCGATTTCAAATTTTGTGCTTCCTATTAGAGAAGCTATAGCACCAAGGATTGCTCTAATCATGAATCTAGCGGATCTTTCTGCTCCCCAGGGATGTCCTGAACTCTGATCACAATATGTTAGACAAAAATTTAGGAGACATCTAATTTGTGCCAGGTCATGGGTGGAATCAACAAATCTGTAGACTCAATAACTGTAAAACATAAACATAAAGGAGGATGGAATTGCCTTAGTTTTAGTAAGTACAACTTTGAGTATTCACCTAGTACTCCCCTAGCCTGAATTCCAGAAGCTAGGAAGCTATGAGATCTGATTTAGCTGTTTCTTCATTGTGTATAAGCTATGCTGATTATAAACCTGTTTGATGTCTTGTAAGAAACTATGTAACTCCTCATTTTCATTGGTTAGAACATCATCTCTGTCATTTGCATCTTTATCTTATATATCATAAGCACACTTTATAGTCTGGGAAGAAACCAAAGTGGAATTAATTAATGCTATATATAATTTTTCATTTTAGCAGATATTCTGAGTGAATAGATCTTTGTGGTTTACTTTGGCCCACATTTTGTTAGGTATACCTGTGTATGCAAAGAATGTAGCTTTTTTTCTCTCATTGAGTTTATTGGTACATTTTTAGGTAAACAGTATAGTTACATTCATCGTTAGGATCTTGTACCTCTACAAAGAATGTAGATTCTAAGTAAGGGTGAATAATTTAATATTTGATTTTTGCTGTGCATTTTGATTTCAAAGGTTTTCTTTTGCTGTGTACCTGGAAAAATCTGTCAAATATTTTTGACTGAAGTAAATGGCTTTCACTGACCATTTAATTAATAATACAGTATGTGAAGGTTAAGATAGGAGTCCTACATGTACTTAAATTACTCATCTTTTCCTTTTTAATTATATATTTCTCTAAAAGGACACAAATATTCAAGATACCATAGAAAATCAAGCTATTTTGGTTCCTATTTTAGATAATATATAGTGTTTAAGAAATAAAAGCTTTATATCTGGATGGTAATTCATAAAATATCTACTTATTGGATACCTGATCTTAATGTGAAAGGATTTAAAAGTAAAAAGAAAGAGAAGAGAAGAGTTACACCATTCGGAGAAGGCGAAAAGAAAAGGGGGGGGCTTAATCAATTCTAGAGCATAAACAAAAATTCTTAAAAGTAGTCTACTCCATGCATCGTGTTTACAGCATGCTGCACAGAGTCGAGCACGGGAGAGAGTTGCGCCTCCCTCAGAAGCTCAGCTGGCACTGTGTGCAGTGCCCAACTGGCATAATAGAAACCCTCTAAGTTCACCCTCCACTCTGTGATGGTTTGCAGTGTTCTCACGATTTACAAAGTATTCTTTTTCTATTTATTAATTTGTACTTTCATAAGAGACTCTTGCTGGCTAAAAGATTCCTTCACCTTTAGATTTAAAACTTTGCCGCTAATATTCTAAATTATTTTTAATTTAATTTAATTTAACTTTGTTAAGCCTTTTTTCTGTTATCAGAACTTTTATTTCTTTCCATCTTGCTACCTTTTGATTGGATGTTTGTTTGTGTTTTTGTTTCTTTGTTTGTTTTTTGGTACTGGGTATCAAACTGGACTTTGTGCTTGCGAGGCAGGCAATGGCAACACTGAGCTAAATCCCCAGACTTTATTCTAACTTCTTTAAACATCCTGATATTTATCAGGAAAACAACAGCAGTAAAAAAATAAACTTGAACCCAATAAGAGATGACTTTGCAAAATGTAGATTAAAGCAAAGTAGAATAAAGAAGTCATTAGTGAGACGATCAAACATCTGAGACTTTTAAGTGTTTTAGTTTAAATTCAATCCCATGAGGACACCTATAAAATATTTATATTTTAATGTCCCCAAAGTAGTTTAATCTCATCTGCCAAGTCACAGCTACAGCAAAATACTGTGTCTTAGGATCAGGCAATGTGCTGAACTCAGCATGTTGGGCTGGATTTCCACAGCCAACATATACCCCAAAGCTTGTGATGGGAAAGTTGTAAGTTAAGGAAATCCATATACTCTCAACCACAGAACTCTCTGAGAAACACTGACTGTCTCTGGATATTTCCTTTCCTAATTGATTAGAAATTAAAAGAGACAATTTGGCAAGCACACATAAAGTGAACGAAGCAACTGCTTGTCCACAATCTTGAAGGAATATCTGTGATTAAAAGTATAAAGTTGTCATAGAAAATTATAGATTATGACGCCCTAGTGATAAGAAGAGCTTGTAAAGACAGAAGGATGGTGGAATTAATCAATCTTAATTGATTTATCTGTTATTCAGAATAACATCATGATTAATAATTATCACCTAACCTCAACTATTTGTACCATTTCCTTTCAGGTGATACTTGTGACATATTTATCAGCATTCACAGTTAAAAAGCTTACATATGTTTTCCCCCATCCATGTAATCTAATCAAAGGTGCCAACCCTGGAACTGCGCCAACACAAAGCTTCGCTGTGACTCGGGTACAGCCTGCACAGTCCATCTAGAGTTGTTGATCTGCTTGATGTCACATGACAGATCCTACTGCTCTGAAAGATGAAAGGATGTTCAAGCCACGTGTCTGCAGATGACAGTTTTCTTTATGATAAACCACAGAGTCACAGCTTGTTAAATAAGCCTGTGACGATGACAAAAGACAAGGCCATCAGTCTGGAGCAGAATATGGCCTAACTGCCCATGACAAACCACACTATTATTTCCTACACACACTGACATCTCATAAAGCATTCCCACAAGTGGTAGCCAGAAATAGTTTCTGAAGACAGCCCCACAAGAGAGTAATAGCTTGCTGCTTATCTTTGAACAAATGAGTGGAAAAAAATCTGGAGTGTGCAATGTAGTTCTCTTACCCTAAGAGATAAAATTGACTTTTTACCTAGGACATTTTGTATGATGGGCCGATTTCACATAACATTAAAATTCTGAGCAGTGACATACAAATGACTATGAGATTCCTGTTTTCAAAGCATGCCAATTTTAAACTTTCTTTCTATTTTTTATAAGTCTGTAGGTCTGCTCTACAAGGTTGTTTCTGTTTATTATAGTTATACCTTAGTCAGTGGATACAACATGCTAGGCTTAATGCTAATCACATAAGATATATCTCATATGACATATATATGACATACGATATATGATATATATATATGTTAATTTTTTAAAACATATATTATCTAAATGTAACTGGAAAAAATGTAACTGGACATATGTTTTATTTTCAACATTGTTTTTATTATATTCATTTTAAAGATGAGAAAACTGTGTCAGAGAAATAATTTATAATAATTTTTCCAGGCCAATGAATGGATGAATTGAAGGTTAGAATATAAAAGTTCTTATTTTTCATTTCTGTTCTTCTAGAAGAGTAACAAATGCAGTGAAAAATATTATAAAAATGGATTGTTGTAATATGTGAGTTCTGTGATCTTATACTTAAAGTAGGTATACCTACTTTATAAATGATTTAAACCAGGGCTGAAATTGAAATTGTTAGGTCTAGTTATTTCAGTATGTCAGCTTAGAACATTCTTCCAGACATCTTGTCACCGTGTGATTATTCATAAAGTGCAAGAAGTTTTTAATAACACTCAACCACTGTTTTCCCTTTGCTTCTTTTTTCTTCCCAGACTCCTAGGTTGTCTCTTAACTCTCTTACTTTCCGAGACTGTGTTTCTTTTAACCTAACTTACTCACTTTGCTCTAGGTTCTTTGGAAAGTGGATCTCTTTCCTTCCTGGTGCGCTGTTTTATACACACAAGCACATGCATTCTGTCATTAGGTTCCATTTAATTTTAGGACTTTTTCACATAGTTACATAATAGTTTTGTAAATTTAAATTTTGGCTGTCCATTTTCTTAACAAATTTCTTGAGAATGTAAATGGGTCAAACACTTATATAAGACTTTGTAATGTACTGGACAGCTCGACTTGCTTATCCAATTGAAGCGCTTCTCTCAGATAAATGTTTAAAAAACCAAAAAAAGAGAATAAGCCCCTAATGTTAATGAACAATAATACCTGCCAAATCCAAATTCTGAATAAGCTTCTAAGTAGTAAGAGATGCTTACTTTGAAAAAAAAAAGTGGGTGAAGGGAGGGCAGGGGTATGAGGAAAAAAACAAGAACCAAGATCTGTCATGTAAGGGTACAAGAACCCAATGATAAATGTAACTGTATTGTATACTTGAACAATAAACTTAATGAAAGAAAAAGAAACAAGTGACTTTTTCTAGTCTAATAAAATTACAAAAAAATTCATTTGATCCAATATTTTTTAATATTTGGACAGTAGTGGCTAAAATACACTGCAATTTTAATTTTGACAGTTACCTTAATTTTAAATGTTAATAATAGGATTTTAATAGAATTTACAGACCATCAGATGATGACTTTCATGAACTGAAAGACTTGAAGTCACTTACAAAGTCCATTGTTTGCAATCAACAAAGGGGGAAGGGCCTCCGATTATAGTGCACAAGATTTATAGATTTCAAAATTAATGTACTTTATAATTCAAAATTAGAAAACACATATCATACAGCATCACTTTTAAAGTAACGCATTTTCACTAAAGCTTTATGTTCTCGGTGAGAGAAGTGGGGAGAAAATGGCTCAGGAGAGAGAGGGGAAAGATTGTCAAGAAGAAAGTAATAGAAACAAAGAGAGCAAGACGTTAAACTCAAAGGATAATAAAGACCTAATACACTGCGTGGGATGTTTGGCCACAACCTTTCCTTAATTTGGGCTGTCATCTTCACTTCACAGAAAAATAATAAGAGGGATCAAACTGTATGTGTACATTTGAGTGTGTTGTTTATTATTCAAGGAGACTCCTAGGCTTGATAAGAAGCATCAAAACCCATTATCTGGGGGCTGAGAGTTTAGCTCAGCGGTTCGGTGGCCTGTCTTGCAAGCACAAGGACCCGAGTTCAATCCCCGGTACCAAATAAACATCTGATGAAACCAATGAATATTTATGAAACATCTATTATAGGAAACACATCAGTGAAAATGGGTTGGAATAAAATAACAGCATCAGCCAATGTATAGGACACAAAAATTAGGTATACTTGTTTGAATTGGACCAATCAGTTTAAAAAGAAGCAAGAAATAACTAGTAGATCAATATAGAGGTAGAAAATCTATCAGCGCCTGAGGGGAATGGTGAGAATCATGAATAATTATTCCTAATATGATATGATCTTGGCTTCCTGCAATAGAAGAACACAATTTAGCATAATTAGGGAGATAGCCTTCTTAATGACTTGACAAGATTGAATTAGTGCTCTGAGTCTCTATCTTCTCAACTAGGAACCATATAATAAGTTGTAGTTTAAAGAAAGAATGGAAAGGTGATAATTCATATGAATTTAGTAGTAGTTATTTGAAGTTTATAGAGATGTGGAGGCAAGAGCATTGTAGACACTGCATTAGATGTAACCGAAGAATATCTTCAGTTGGAGTCATTCTCTTGCCTCCAACAGACAAAATTCACAAAGCTAGAACAAAAATAAGAAAATAAACTTCATTTCCCCATTTCCTTTCCCCTACCCTTCCCAATTCCCCTACACATTTCACCCTTTTTTTCCTATTTCACATTATCAGTTATACAATTTGGATCTTATTTACACTTTCATTTTTTAACACCAGAGAAACTATTCGGAATTTACACATGTGCATCCTATTTATTTCACTTAAGAGTATGGCCTCAATACGCATCCATTTTCCTTTGAATGAATTCAATGGAAAAAAGAAAAGAAAAGAAACTTCAAGTAAAATACAAGAGATATACTATAACTTAATACTCAAAGCAGTGCCTTAACATTATTTTAAGAAGAATATATTTAATAATAGGGTTTTATTTTAGGGACAGAGTTAGGTACTTGAATATATGCTGAGTAGTTGGCACTTCATTTTAAACAATAATGACCCATTAAAGGTTTCCAGAAACTAGGTATTTGTGATCAAGTTAGAATTTGTAAAAGTTTGACTTATGGTCCAAACAGGAAAAATTGAAAAGGAGAGAAACAAGAAGGCTAGAGACTTGCTATAAAACCATTTTGATAGTGTGTATGTAAGCCAGGGAAAGCCTGAACATGGGTCACAGCAGTGGATACAGGAGGAAGGTTCTGATGCAGGAGTATTGTTAAAGAAAAAACAGAGAAGATGTAGCAACTGTCTCTCACTTACCTTAGAATTTCTGGCATTCAACTCTAATTAGAAGTCTCACAAATCAGTCCACTTGGTAAAACATTAGCTCAGTTGGAATGTGTGATAATTCACTACTTAAAAGGTCACACAAGTCAATCCTGAAAGCTTCTTATTTGGAAAAAATTATTGAAACACCATTGGAAACAGCATTTCACTCATAGGCTGCCTTCCAAAATTTACCCAGGCCCTTCAATTAGGTCTTTTCATCTCTGGAATTTATCCAAGCCAATAATGTCCCTTGGCCTCTCATGTCCTTTTCAAATCACAGCTGACAGGGAAAAAAAAACCCTCTGTCTGCACTGCAGACAGAAAACAACATTAAACTCTACACCAATGCAGGTTCATTATCATTTAAAAGGATTTTGAAAAAACAGAGGTTATGAATTTGACCATATAAAAGCTCCACTTAGTTCATTGGCATTTGAGGTGATGGTGTACAAAGAGATCAGTTTTGAAGGTGGCAAATACAATCACAATGAAAAACTTCAAAAGTTCTTAGGGATCTAAAGAAAACATTTATTTTGCATCTGGAATTTTCATATGATAGAATACATTTTCAAAGTATACTCTGAGTATAGGTAATAGTTGAATAATCTAAACTTTGAGACTTAAAAATGCATGCAATTTGGGGGAGACTATCTCCAAAACATTTCCTAAGGATCTATTATCACACTATGTAGGTAAAGATTTCTTTTTTTTTTTGTCCTGTTTGTTCTACATTCTTTGAAAAGCTCCAAGTATATAAGATGATGCACATAACTCATTTTTTTCAGTGACTTTCTCTGTAATTTGTTCAATGTAGAACAGTTTAGGCTTATGCAGACATCTATAGCACATCCTTAGATCATAATACTTAACAGAATCATGACACCTTAAATTTGGAAAAGACTGAAAATGATATAGCCAACCTCCCACTCAGGATAGAAATACCTTTTCTGACAAGGATCTCCCTGTAGAAAATTATCACCCTGACTTTCAGCGCTCTGCAAGTATTCTATGTTATAACTTCTACTACAAAATATTCTCTTCTATATACTTACAGATGATACTTTAAAAACTATTGAATGAAACAAAGCCTAATACTAACTCTGCAACACGCCAGACCTATTAGAAATATCACTGTTTTGTGTTTTTCATATTTGAACTCATTTCACCATATTATTCACAATAATCTAAGAGAATTTAAGATTTAAATTATCAGGTATGTTTGAGGGAAAGCCATTGTCAAACAGAAAAATGTAGGGAGTCCATTGAAGACGTTCTGATCTATTGGAGGAAATCCAACTAATAGGTGCACAATTTGTTGTTTTTGGTTCCACAATGCTTTTTAATCATTAACCACTTTATTTTCAAAGTACTTACAAATGCTCTTTTCAATAATGTATTCTGGCTGGAATTCTTCTACTTTTCAATATTAAATTTTCTAGAATGTATATTTATGATATAGTTCATTGATTCATTTTATTTGTCAAATATTCATTAAGTATATATTCTAAAACATGTTTAATTCTATGTTTTACTCCTGGTATGGTGCATTTTCTCTCTAGGAAATTATGGTCTGATGTAAAATAATTAAAATAGGACAACTTAAATATATTATTTTAAATAACAGGAAAGGCAAAAACAGAGAGTTTCTTAGCACTTGGGAAGGGCATTTGGTGAGAATAACTTTTCCAAAGGATTTT